GGGTACTCCAGCTCCAAAGGGGGCTGCCCGGCTCGGGGAGGGGGTACCCGGCTCGGGGAGGGGGCCCAGCTCTCAGGCCCGGCCTTCTGCTTCAACCGTCAGGCGCTTAACCCTTTAATGCCCCTCTCCTCCTCCAGAACCCTTCCTGGATGGCAGTTAGCAGGCACGGATGACAATTAGCAGACACATCTCCCCGGTGGGGAATGCGGCCCCTTCAGCCGGTGCGGTGAGAGCTGAGCGTACTCGGGAGGTGGTGATTTTCACCCCAAATCGCCTCTCAGCCCAATTCCAGCTCTGCCTCCTCCCCCGGTGAGCCTGGGCTCCATCTTGGATCTCCAGGAGAGGAGTGACCCAAAGAGCAAAGTCGATGAGGAGCTTTTCCAAGCTGGGATTTTTCCCAAAGCCTCCATTCATGCTTCTGGCACTGGTAGTGCTCGCAGGCAGCCTCGCGGGCTGAGTCGTGGCTGTTACAGACGGTGGTTTTGGTGTGACAAGTCTGTAAAGGAATAATGTCTATTTTGGGGATCAGGACACATAAAAGGCAAAAATAAGCAATAAATTTTGCATAAAGGCAAAAAAAAAAAAAAAAAAAAAGCTCCATGTGAAGGCAGACATCTTGGACTTTTCCTTTCCTGGAGGGGAGTGTGGGCCAGGCCAGGGCCAGGCTGTGTCCCTGCTGGGGGATTTTTGGGAAGAACGATGCAGGCAATCAGCCTGTGCAGCTGCTTGAAGCTTTTTTGAATCAAGTTTTGCTGTTAGAAAAAGACAAGGAGGTGTTTTTTTTGTTTGTTTTTTTTTTTTTTTTTTCTGGGCTGGTAAGCCCCCAAATCACACACAGACATAGAGACCCCTGTGTTGTTTATGGTTTTAGTGAGTGAGGGTTAATTGTGCTGAATGTTTTCTGGCTGGAGGGTTGGTGTTGGAAATGGCCTGGCTGCTCCTGAATGGAAAAGGGGCTGGGGAGGTGTAAAATGGGCCAAATCTTGGGATTTGGGCAGGGAGAAGGGGGACAGATCCACCTCTCCCCCCTCTCTCTGTCCCAGTGTGACCCTGCTGTAGATCTGGGGGACAGTGCGGGGCAGAACCCCTCTTTACAGAGACCCATGAGGGGCTGTGAAGGGCGCTGCTGCCGTTGGTGCCCCATCCCAGGGAGGGACCTCCCTGGTGTCACCCCTGGAGTGAGCCCGGCTGCCCCCAGCCCCTTTGTGTCCCCGACGAGCTCCATGCCAGGAGGTGCAGGCAGGGCCGGCAGCCAGCGGCAGGCCCGGGCTTGCCCCGCTCTGTGGCGGTGGTGATGGCAATGGCTGACACGGTGCCAGGGAGGGCAGGAGGAGCCCTGCGCAGCCCCTTGCCGTCTCCGGAGGGTTTTGTCCTGGTTGCCTCCCTGTCTGGGAGATGTTGGCATCTTCACAGTGGGAAAGGAGGGAGGCAGAGCCAGGCTCCCCAGGATGCTCCCCCGACACGGTTGTTGCTCCTTGCACCGCCCTGGCACACCCTGAGCTCCCGGTGAGCAGTCGGGTGTGCTCCCAGTGCCGGCCCATGCTGGAGGACCCCCTTTTTTGGGGGTGTGTGTGTTCTGTGTCGAGAGCAAGGTTTCAGTAGCTGTGGGATTGGTAGCTCAAGGACATGACAGTCTCCTCAACCACTGCAGCTGGGGTTTGACTCCCTGCGTGTCCCATTTCCCAGGTTTTTGTGCTTTCGGAGGGTCAGAGCCCAACGACAGCCACTCGGTCATGGGGGTCTGTATTGTGAGCGCCCCCCCCTTGTCTGCTCCTGCCCTTCTCTTGCCTGCTGTTGCCTGAAGCAGAGTGCAAGGCGGGACGCAGAGGGGTTTGCAGGAGCAGGGGAACCGCCTGGCGTGCCGATAACCCACACCTCCCGGGGCATTGAACTTATCTTTCAGCCCGTGGCCACCCCAGCACAGCTGAGCCACACACACATGTGTGCCGAGTCAGCCAGCGCCCAACTCCGGCCCCTCTGTCACTTCATACATGACACATTTACCAGCGGGAGCGACGGCGAGGTCGCCACGTGTGATTATTTTTTGGCCTGGGTAGCGCACGGGGTTGCTGTAAGGTTTCTGCTCCCCCGGCTGCCCCACACACCATGTGGCAGTCCCATCCCTGCGCTGCTTCTCTTCCCCCGAGCTGGAGGAACAGGTTCAAGGTCCCGGCGGTGCTGAGGGGCTCGAGGCCGCACGGAGGAGCTGAAGGATTTGGCAGCTGACCGCACGCAGGCACAGGCTGAGCCCCAAGCTGTTGGTGCCGGAGGTTTTTATGTTTTATAGCTGCAGATTGATTTCCCCCCCATGTATTTTGGGTGTTTTCCAGCCGTGTTTTAGCCTCCTCCACACCCCAGGGTGTCCAGGTGTGGGCACAGCCATCACCCTGTCGGCCACCCGTGGGTCCTCCTGCCCTTCGTGGCACCTGAAAGCCTGGGTGCTGTGTCCCTTTCTGCACCACTCAGGAATATTTTGGGGACGTCGGATGTTTGCACAACCCTCATCTTGCAGAACTGGCTTCTCGTGGGTTGGCAGACCCGGCTGGATTTGCCCCCAGCCTCTGGGCAGGCTTTGCAGGGGGGGAGAAGTGCCTCAGGCTGGATTTAAACCAATGACATGGGGAGGTGTGGGGGGGTGTCCCCTTCCAGAGCAGTTTTGGGGCTGGATTTGTGGTCAGAGGGAGGGTTACCACGCCGTAGCCCCGGGACCGTGCTGCTCCAGATGAAGCAGGGCGGCTGCTGGGCTGGATGGGGCAGGGAGCTGCTTGTTGGGACCAGCCTGAGCTCGAGCGAAGCCTTTAGCGGCTGGGGCAGAGCTGGAGCGAAGGCAGCCCAGGGCCGGCAACTGAGGTCTGCAAACTGCCCTCGCAACCCCAGCCCCAGCCCCAAACCAGCCCGAGCGCCCAGACTTGCCTCTCCCAGTGGCTGGGACACACAGCCCTGCCTGGGGACAGCCTGTTGGGTGCCCTCAGCAGCCCTTGGGTGTCCTCGCGTCCCCCCGGTGCTGTCCCCAGGGCACCCGACAGCTCAGCCTGTAACTGCGCTGTCACCTTGTGCGGTTTGCTTCGCTCGATTTCTCTCTTTAGGCCAAAGACGATGTGAAACATCCCCCAGCACCGGCACGGCAGTGCCCACCTCCAGCACGCAGCACCCCAGGGCCCGGCTCTCAGCACCCACCACCAGCTCTCCAGCACCCACCATACCAGCTCCCAGCACCCAGCTCCCAGTGTCCAGAACCCAGCTCTCGAGGTCCACAGCTCCCAGTGCTCCACAGCCAGTTCCCCAGTGTCTAGCACACAGCATCCATATGCCAGTACCCATCTCCCAGCACCCATCTCCCCAGTATCCATCACCCAGCATCCAGTGTCTGTCACCAACCACACCAGTTCTCAGCATCCTAGGGTTGCCTGAAGCCATCTCCCAGCACCCATTTCCCCAGTACCATCTCCCAGTACTCATGTCCCAGCAACCACCTCCCAGTATCCATCTCCAAGAACCCATCTCCCAGCATACGTCTCCCAGTAACCATGTCCCAGTACCCATCCCCCATCCCCCAGTAACCATCTCCAGGCACCCATCCCCCAGCACTGATCTCTCAGTAACCACCTCCCAGTAACCATCTCCCCAGTATCTATCTCCTAGCACCCATCTCCCCAGGATCCATCTCCCAGTAACCATGTCCCCAGCACCCATCTCCCAGCATGTGTCTCCCAGTACGATCTCCCAGTACCCATGTCCCAGTGACCATCTCCAGGCACCCATCTCCCAACACCCATCTCCCAGTACCCATCTCCCAGTGCCATCTCCCCATAACCATCTCCCAGCACCCGTCTCCCCATAATCATATCCCCAGCACCTGTCTGCCAGCACACGCCTCCCAGTGTCATCTTCCAGTAACCATGTCCCAGTACGCAGATCCCCAGTAACCATCTCCCCAGTATCCATCTCCCAGTAACCATCTCCCAGTACCCATCTCCCAGTACCCATCTCCCAGTAACCATCTCCCAGTACCCATCTCCCATTAACCACATTCCCTGGAACCGTATCTTCAGCACCCATCTCCCAGTAGCCATCTCCCAGTAACATCTCCCAGCACCCGTCTCCCAGTAGCCATCTCCCAGTAACCGTACTCCCTGTAACTGTATTTCCAGTACCCATCTCCCAGCACCCATCTCCCAGCACCCATCTCCCAGTAGCCATCTCCCAGTAACCATATTCCCTGTAACCGTATCTCCAGTACCCATCTCCCAGTAACCATTTCCCAGCACCCGTCTCCCAGTAGCCATCTCCAACCGTATTCCCTGTAACTGTATTTCCAGTACTCATCTCCCAGTAGCCATCTCCCAGCACCCATCTCCCAGTAACATCTCCCAGCACCCGTCTCCCATCACTGCCATGTCCCCCATACCTCCCACCTCTCCCATGTCCCAGTCGTCCCAGTGCTCCCAGTACAACCCTGCTCCCACCCGCCCCGAGCGCTGCGGGGCGCCAGACCCGCCCCCGTGTGCCGCCGCCTGACCCCGCCCACTGCCGCGCATCACCCTCTGTCCCCGCCCACTCCGTTGCGCAACGGGTTGGCCCCGCCCCACCCCTGACGCCCTGTCACCATGTCCCCTGCGTGTCCCCACAGGTCCCCTTCCCCCCCTGAGTGTCACCATGTCCCCTGTGTGTCCCCGCGTGTCCCCTTCCCCCCTGAGTGTCAACATGTCCCCTGTGTGTCCCCACAGGTCCCCTTCCCCCTTCTGTGTCACCATGTCCCCTGCGTGTCCCCACGTGTCCCCTTCCCCTCTGACTGTCACCATGTCCCCTGCGTGTCCCCACAGGTCCCCTTCCCCCCCGAGTGTCACCATGTCCCCTGTGTGTCCCCACAGGTCCCTGGGTTCCTCCCAGGTCTGTGTCTGTCCCTGTTCCCCTGGGTGACCCCACATCCCCGGTGTCCCCCCATGTGTCCCCTGTGTGCCCTCCCCGTGTTCCTCTCTGTGCCTCTGTGTCCCCCAGGTGTCCCTGGAGCCTCCCAGGTCCCATGTACCTTCCAAGTGCCCCCATCCCTGGTGTCCCCGTGTCACTTTTGTCCCCCTGTATGACCCCATGTCCCCTGTGTCCCCCATGTCTTCGTCATCTCCCCCCTCTGCCCCACATGACCTCTGTGCGCCCTTGTGG